GGTGGTGACAGCTGGTGGTGATGGGTGTTGAGGGGTGGTGATGTTTATATATAAATATACCTTCCAGCATTTATTGTTGATATCGATTATAAATAACGATTATAATTATTTAGTAATTATATTATCTATAAAAACATGTGACACAAATATAGCTAACACTATATTTATATAGATAATGTTTTCATTCGAAATATAAAACAAAACCAATTATCTGATTTCGTTATCCATGCTTTTATATAATATATATATATATATATATATATATATATATATATATATATATATATATATATATATATATATATATTATATATATATATGAGGGAGAGGGGAATTTATGACTGTTCCAAGATCTGAGGCTTCGAGTCAGTTTCGAATATTTTATTTTTGTTGTTGTTGATAATTCGTAGTGAATTTAGTGATACTTTAAAGCATTTACAAGTATTTTCTTTAACAGGGATAGGTAATTCATTATCATTTTGTCGGGGACAGGCAGGCTGTGTGTATATATAAGGCTTTTTTTTCTTCTTTTCTTTCTTTCGTGACACTATATGCATTAGAGTATTTGCTCCTATCGCCCCTATTTTTTGTTTCATACTTTATTTAGTTGTGTAACTGTAACCTTGCATAATAGTTACAAAATGTGTCAACCGGTGTACAGGTTCCCGAGCCTATTGTGCTCTGTCATATTTACATTAGAAACTGTGTATGGAGTCAGCCTCCACCACATCACTGCCTAATGCATTCCATTTGTTAACTACTGACACTGACAAAAATTCGTTCTGATGTTTATGTAGCTTATTGGCTCATTTCGGTAATCCATTTGTCTTCATCTCATATGGTGCAAAGGGCCTCGTAGCCTGGTGGATAGCGCGCAGGACTCGTGATTCTGTGGCGCGGGTTCGATTCCCGCACGAGGCAGAAACAAATGGGCAAAGTTTCTTTCACCCTGAATGCCCCTGTTACCTAGCAGTAAATAGGTACCTGGGTGTTAGTCAGCTGTCACGGGCTGCTTCCTGGGGGTGGAGGCCTGGTCGAGGACCGGGCCGCGGGGACACTAAAAAGCCCCGAAATCATCTAAAGATAACCTAACCTAAAGATGGTAGTTGTCTTCATCTACCATATCAATCACCCCGGTGTCTTCCTCTCTCTCTCTCTCTCTCTCTCTCTCTCTCTCTCTCTCTCTCTCTCTCTCTCTCTCTCTCTCTAGAGCAAGCGTTCTTAGCCTTGTTAGGAGTACAGACCCGCCGTCCCTCTCAGTGAATTACACTGTCTTCTTATTCCATTCGTCACTGTTGAGATTACCACCACAGCCGTCACCAGTCAGTGCCATTACGTGCCTGTGTGACTTCGAAAGATGTCAATGTCTTGGTTGTACTTTGCACATTGTTATGTAGGAACAGAACCGCTGATAAAAAAATTATAAGGATTTAATCATTTATTGAATAATACGACAAATCACAAATATTCAAGCTAGCTAAAATTAAATTTGTTGCCGTTTTTGTTCAATCAAAACATAGAATAGAAGTACAATTACTGACGGTGATGGAGAATCCTAATCTAACGAAGTTTTGCTCTAAATGTTCATAGTCCTATACTCCCTATTATTTAGTTCTGATCATAGAGCTTTCCAGGCAGTAGTGCACAAGCTGACCATAGAGAGCTCTCAAGGCAGTATATAGTGCACAATTAAGCTGACCATATAGAGCTCTCCAGACAGTATATAGTGCACAAACTGACCATATAGAGCTCTCCAGGCATCATATAGTGCACAAACTGACCATATAGAGCTCTCCAGGCATCATATAGTGCACAAACTGACCATATAGAGCTCTCCAGAGAGTCGCTGAGTCTTCCAACACCGTCAGTGTTTGCAACATAAACATTTTGTTGACCATTTAAATGTCGTTCACTAACCTCTTGTTTTATCTCCTCTTTTTTACAGGTAAGTGGAGGAATGTGTGTGTGTGTTGACGCCCCGTGGCACACCAGGTAAGGCCAACACCCAACTTTTGATGGAGTTTTTGTTTGCTTTTTATGCTGAAATCAGGTTCTGTTGTGCTAGGTGTTTTGGGTGGCTGTTGTTGCTGTCAGATGTTTGGTTATTACGTCCGTTGGTTTAATAAGGACTTGAGGGGTTTAATAAATGTTGGTGATAGTGTTGGGACATTGGTGGAGGGGTTTCACAGAACTGTGGGGGGTTTAAAAAGAGTGCATTGGTTAGTTGGTTGCTTTGTCGGTCTCAGCTGTGGACATTCAGTTGGCACTGTTTATACAGGGTTTCTGAAGTGCCATGGTGACATACACACTCACTCACTCTCACACACACACACACACACACACACACACACACACACACACACACACACACTCTCTCTCTCTCTCTCTCTCTCTCTCTCTCTCTCTCTCTCTCTCTCTCTCTCTCTCTCTCTCTCTCTCGGCTTTATCGTGTCCTGCAACTTCCATCAGCTGTCGTATAGTGGGTAGTGAAATGGAGGCCACAAGAGAGAAGAGTGGCCACGTGTGGTGGTGGCGGCCAGAGTGCCTACCACACTGGCCACCACGAGACCCTCATCACTCAACACCTCATCTCTCGTGGTGGGGGGGTGAAGGGGGGTCACTACTAAACACACTAATGGCTGTTTCGTTGTTCGTCTTCCCCAATTACACATTAATGTTGTTTGTTTAAATTAAGGTTATATACTTACAATGTTACTGGCACAACACCAGCCGTCCACCGAAGCCAAACAAGGCTGTTGGTGATCGATGGTGGGATGAATGGTGGTTGTCTTAATATTGTGTCATAGTTGTAATGTGTTGTGATGGGCGCTACGTTTAGCTCGGCACAGTTTAAACGTTATTTTGTGTGACCTCTTATACCTTATCTTTTAGTTCCAAATGTGTATGGGACGCCTGGCGTTAAATACCTTCCCAAAATACCTTTATTTTAATATGAATATATTAAATACGAATTTAATTACTGACTGCCTCACTACACCCTAAAAATATACATTTATTTCAACCCATTCATAATTTTTTTTTACACAGGTGGGTACAGGAGCAGACAGACGACCTGTGATTCTTGTTATCAGGTTGACAACTTTCCTTCCCATAGCTCGGGGCAAGCCTTACCTTACTAGTGTTCCCTGGAACACAACCTGTTAATCAGTGTACCACCAGGTCCCCAATTACTTCTGGGGGAATAGGGGGGATAATTTTTAAGAATCAGTTCCCTGTCGAGCCTCCCTTCCCTTGGGGGTCGAACCCGGTTTTCTTTGGAGATTTTTACCCACTTAATTCCGGAGCTAATAATTTTTGGAGGCCTGCTTGCATGATTTGGCATAGGCTTCTTATGATTGCCAGTAGGCCTAGTAGATTGCCAGTAGGCCAGTAGATTGCCAGTAGATATCACGTAGTCGCGCACTGACAACTTTTTCACAGCTTTTTAGGATATTTTCGGTTGTTGTAAACTGTTTTATCGCCCTTTACCTACACATCACAATATTCCTTCCCTTTTTCTCCCTCTTGTGCGTTGCCTCCCTTCCTACCCTCCCTCCCTCTCTCCCTGCATGTTCTCCCTCCTTCCCTTCCTCTCCTCTTTCCGTTCTCCATGCCTGCTGCCTCCCTACCTCCCACTTCCTTAATTACTTCCCTTCATTTCACAACTATATTCTATTCCAACATCATTCCATCTTTTCCTTCTCTCTGCTCCTGGCACCCCGCGCAGAACCCTCTCCCCTCCCCTCTGTTTCACTTCCTTATAGCTTCTCCTCTCCCATTTCCGCTTCTCCCCTTACCTTGTCTCATCTTGCCTCTGTTTCCCCTCCTTCATTCTTATCACTCCTTTCCTCCCCTCTTCACACAACTCCATATTCAGCATATTCCCTTTCCTCTTCTCACCACTATTCGCCTGAATTTCCCCCCCCCTTTCCCATAACCCGCACCTCCCTTCCCATTACCCTCCCCCTCTGTCCCTCATAATTAGTATCATACATCAAGTAATGGCTTCCCCTCGGTTGCTGACCTGGCGACGGGCAGCGACCCCTCGGACACAACCGCACAGGTTCGAACCCCTCAAGGAAGTGGCAAGAGAGGAAGGGGAAATGTTGAATATCGGGAAGCGAAGATCTGAGAGTCAGTTTGTGGGTGTAGATATGAGGGGTTGGGGGAGCTTAATGACTGAGGGGAGGTCCTATATATACGCCTTAATTGTCTGCTGTTTAAACAGGACCTCCTCGAGGATAACGGAAGCTTGTGATCTTGGGTTACAAGATGGTCATATTATTATTTTACTGCACAAATGAAGCCACTTTAACGTGATGTATCGAGGTGAAGAGCTGTAGTAGCCGTGAGGGTTCGAATCCCGTCATGTTTGTCGTGGTGTAGTAGGATTAAATACCAAGTGTGCTGGTTCGAGTCCTCATCGTGGCTTCTACGGATTTTCTCGTTGTCTTATTATCAATTTCATGTTTTTTCAAGTTTTCTTTCATTTATTCTGTCGTTATCCCTTTGTTTCAAACATTATTTATTATTAATCTGTCAATTTCTCTCTCTCTCTCTCTCTCTCTCTCTCTCTCTCTCTCTCTCTCTCTCTCTCTCTCTCTCTCTCTCTCTCTCTCTCTTCTGTCTCTCTCTCTCTCTGTCTCTCTCTCTCTGTCTCTCTCTCTCTGTCTCTCTCTGTCTCTCTCTCTCTGTCTCTCTCTCTCTGTCTCTCTCTCTCTCACTGTCTCTCTCTGTCTCTCTCTGTCTCTCTCTCTGTCTCTCTCTCTCACTCTCTCTCTCTCTCTCATCATTCACAGTGGAGTGAATGAAACGTTTTGAACTTTACGGTCAATATGGGAAAACCGAATTGGCGATTCCAGGACTTGTGTGGCTTAACGCATGCACCTGCAAGCGTAAATACACACAGATCCTTCTGGCTGTATTTACGATTTATTTACATACATACAGTTGTTTCCCTTCCCCCCCCCCCACCAGCTGCTTGCTGTTTATACCCTACGTTAGTCCTTGACTATGTCACAGGCTATGTCACGGGCTATGTCACGGGCTATGTCACGGGCTATGTCACGGGCTATGTCACGGGCTATGTCACGGGCTATGTGACGGTCTATGTGACGGTCTATGTGACGGTCTATGTGACGGTCTATGTCGCGGTCTATGTGACGGTCTATGTCGCGGTCTATGTGACGGTCTATGTGACGGTCTATGTCACGGTCTATGTCGCGGTCTATGTCACGGTCTATGTCACGGTCTATGTCACGGACTATGTCACGGTCTATGTCACGGTCTATGTCACGGTCTATGTCACGGACTATGTCACGGTTCATGTCACGGTCTATGTCACGATCTATGTCACGGTCTATGTCACGATCTATGTCACGGTCTATGTCACGGGCTATGTCGCGGTCTATGTCACGGGCTATGTCACGGTCTATGTCGCGGTCTATGTGACGGTCTATGTCGCGGTCTATGTCGCGGGCTATGTCACGGGCTATGTCACGGGCTATGTCACGGTCTATGTGACGGTCTATGTCGCGGTCTATGTGACGGTCTATGTCGCGGTCTATGTGACGGTCTATGTGACGGTCTATGTGACGGTCTACGTCACGGTCTACGTCACGATCTATGTCACGGACTATGTCACGGACTATGTCACGGTTCATGTCACGGTCTATGTCACGATCTATGTCACGGTCTATGTCACGATCTATGTCACGGTCTATGTCACGGGCTATGTCGCGGTCTATGTCACGGGCTATGTCACGGTCTATGTCGCGGTCTATGTCACGGTCTATGTCGCGGTCTATGTCGCGGGCTATGTCACGGGCTATGTCACGGTCTATGTGACGGTCTATGTCGCGGTCTATGTGACGGTCTATGTCGCGGTCTATGTGACGGTCTATGTGACGGTCTATGTGACGGTCTACGTCACGGTCTACGTCACGATCTATGTCACGGACTATGTCACGGACTATGTCACGGTTCATGTCACGGTCTATGTCACGATCTATGTCACGGTCTATGTCACGATCTATGTCACGGTCTATGTCACGGGCTATGTCACGGTCTATGTCACGGCCTATGTCGCGGTCTATGTGACGGTCTATGTCGCGGTCTATGTGACGGTCTATGTGACGGTCTATGTCACGGTCTATGTCGCGGCCTATGTCACGGTCTATGTCACGGTCTATGTCACGGACTATGTCACGGACTATGTCACGGTCTATGTCACGGACTATGTCACGGATTATGTCGCGGTCTATGTCGCGGTCTATGTCACGGTCTATGTCGCGGTCTATGTCACGGTCTATGTCACGATCTATGTCACGGACTATGTCACGGACTATGTCACGGTTTATGTCACGGTCTATGTCACGATCTATGTCACGGTCTATGTCACGGTCTATGTCACGATCTATGTCACGGTCTATGTCACGGGCTATGTCACGGACTATGTCGCGGTCTATGTCGCGGTCTATGTCACGGTCTATGTCACGGACTATGTCACGGTCTATGTCACGGGCTATGTCACGGGCTATGTCGCGGTCTATGTCGCGGTCTATGTCGCGGTCTATGTCACGGTCTATGTCACGGACTATGTCACGGACTATGTCACGGTCTATGTCACGGAATATGTCACGGACTATGTCGCGGTCTATGTCGCGGTCTATGTCGCGGTCTATGTCACGGTCTATGTCACGGTCTATGTCGCGGTCTATGTCGCGGTCTATGTCGCGGTCTATGTCACGGTCTATGTCGCGGTCTATGTCGCGGTCTATGTCACGGACTATGTCACGATCTATGTCACGGTCTATGTCACGGGCTATGTCACGGTCTATGTCGCGGTCTATGTCGCGGTCTATGTCGCGGTCTATGTCACGGTCTATGTCGCGGTCTATGTCGCGGTCTATGTCACGGTCTATGTCACGGTCTATGTCACGGTCTATGTCACGGGCTATGTCGCGGTCTATGTCACGGGCTATGTCGCGGTCTATGTCACGGGCTATGTCGCGGTCTATGTCACGGTCTATGTCACGGTCTACGTCACGGTCTACGTCACGGTCTATGTCACGGTCTATGTCACGGTCTATGTCGCGGACTATGTCGCGGTCTATGTCACGGTCTATGTCACGGTCTATGTCACGGTCTATGTCACGGGCTATGTCGCGGTCTATGTCACGGGCTATGTCACGGTCTATGTCACGGTCTATGTCGCGGTCTATGTCACGGTCTATGTCACGGACTATGTCACGGACTATGTCACGGATTATGTCACGGATTATGTCACGGACTATGTCACGGACTATGTCACGGACAATGTCACGCACTATGTCACGCATTATGTCACGGACTATGTCACGGACTATGTCACGCACTATGTCACGCATTATGTCACGGACTATGTCACGGGCTATGTCACGGTCTATGTCGCGATCTATGTCACGGTCTATGTCACGGTCTATGTCACGGTCTATGTCACGGACTATGTCACGGACTATG